TGTTCAAAGGTAGTTCCCATGTCCAGGTTCCAGAAGATGACCAGCAATGGGGCTAACCTACTTGGGAGCTGCAAAGTAGCTCAAATGCTGGTTTGAGAGAAAAGGCAAGTAAGTCAGAATTAAGAAGGTAGTACTGGGACTCAGTTGCATACCTTGCCTATTTCCAGATTGCAGTGGGACAACTGGATCTGTAAGAGGTCATTGTCTCATGTGGGAAATTTTCTGCAGAAATTCCTTTCCCTGTGGTCTCACTGTTAAATGGTTTATATGAAGAATCACAGCTTGTAAGGAGCAGAGGTCTGGCCCCTCCTTAGGAAGACTGTAAAACAGAAATTATATTCAAGACTCAAAATGCTGATGTGTTACAGCTAAAACTGCTAGAATTTCTATTGTTTCCCAAGATAAAACATCATATACTGGCCACTGGCTAGCACACTGGCTTTGAATAGTGATTGGGAGTGGGATTGACTCATAAATGGATTTTTATCTCATAGTATGTGGTGGTATTTTTTTCCATTATTAACATCTATAAGCTGTTTCTACTATGAAGGTTTGGCTAAGTGAAAAACAATATAGATTTTTTGCTTATGTGTCTCTTGACATTTCAGGGTGTTTTCTAGTAGGTCAGGAATCTCTGTAGACCAGGATTCATTGGCTGCTTATTTCATAGGATGTTGCATAGCCTGGGACTCCTCTGACACAATCATCTCCCTCCTTTTGCAGTCCTCCTATTGCAAGCAGCAGGGATGTGTGATGAATTGGAGTGTGGCCCAGCCAAAGAGCTGTGTAGAGAACCAGGGACATGTGTTTTTGAATGGCAACTCCAACTGGGCCACATTCAGCAGCTTAGGTCAATTTGACCTGATATAAAATGAAATGTTCTATTTGCATTTTATGCAAACTGATGGCAATGACAGAAATAAAAAATAAGCAATAAACTTTTGTAAAAATACCAGTTCCCTTTGGCCCAAAATTGAATGACAAATTCCATGCTACCTTGATTTATTGTCAATCTGTCAAATGTAGGTCATAAGAACATCTGTATTTTCATGCCAATGCAGTCCTCTGGTTATTGTAATTTGAGAACTACCTTTGTTGAAATTTAAGGTTTTTGACCATTACCTCCTACTGGATTCATGTCTTCAGTTCTGTCTAGCTGACATCTCTTTGGCAATCACAACCTTGGAAATGCTCCTTTAGACAGTAGGATGTGAGGAACAGTGATGCTGTAGTAACCTCACACTGTAGAGAGAATGATCTCTTATAAAAAGGCACGTTCCTATTAAAAATTCACAGCAGCACACTCCACACCCCCATTATAGGTAATTACAGAGGATTTTAAATATCTAATGCTAGTTGGCAGCGTACAATACCATCAGCAGCAGGCACTGATTTGTAATTTAATTATCATAAGACATCCACCTGTTCTTTTGTCAAATGAAGAGTAGCATATCCGTGCAATCATTCTTTTCCCTCCAGAAATTTGAATTAGTCCTTAAAGAAAGGTTTCTAGGGAATGAGTTTTTTTCAAGGACATTTGCAGGACCTCATCAGAACAGGATGATGGAGATGAATGAGACATTTCTACAGGAGTGTCTTAATTCTGGTTTGGTATTTTCAGCCTTACCACTGGCTTTTTGCTGTGTCAAGCTGTTTCAGTTCACAGCTGGAAGCATTTCAATGAAGAGATGCTGTAGGAGGAAAGATGTATGAAAATCAATGAGTTTGGTGCTAAGAACATGAGGAAAACCCATAGAAGGATTGACCCAGAAATGTTCTCAGCTCATACTTAGTGAAGAAGGAGAGGCTGGGCTTGGGATGGGAGGGAGACAAAGATCAATAGAACGGTTGAAATCTGTTCTGAAAATGTTTCCGTTGATGGAACATAAACATGGATATTACTGAAGTTGTCCTGTGAATGTAAATTTATTGGATAAATAGATCAATTCAAACTATAAAGCAAGTCTATCACTGGAGAGCCACACAAGTGTTCTGCTCTTTGGGAGCACAGGGTTCAGGGTGAATCAATTTCCTCTGGGTTTTGGCTCCTGTTTATGCAGAAGCTACACTGCAGTGTGGTGATGGGGAAAGGATTAAGTGATGGTCAAAGAGATGTTCTCTCCTTATGGCCGCATCACACTGCTTCTGGCTGTGTAAAACTGCAAAAATGAGCTGGAAAGAATAGCATATATGTTTTATATATGTATATCTATATGCACACATATATATGTGTGTGTGTGAATGTATGTGTCTATAATAATATATTAATTATATATAATCAAATTAATCATATATAATGAAATATATAACCATATAATGAATTATAGAACGTAAAATGGTTTGGGTTGGAAGGGGCCTTAAAGATTCAACCCTCTGCAAGGGCAGGGATGACATCCACACATCCTCTAAATGAGATTGCTTAGGACACCATCCAACCTGGGCTCAAACATCCCTTACAAGGATGGGGTATCTATAAACTCCCTGTGGAATTTCATCCTGTTCCAATGCTTCATCACACTGAGGAAGAATTTCTTCCTAATATGTAATCAAAACCTCTTACAGTTTAAAACCCCCTTATCCTGTCACTACATGCCTACATAAAAAAAATCCCTCTCCCTTCATTAAATTACTGGAAGGTCTCACCCTGAAACCTTCTCCAGGCTGAACAACCAGGCTCTTTCAGCCTATCTTCATAGAAGAGGTGTTCCATCCCTCTGATCCTTTTCATAGCCTTCTTCTTTATCGGCTGTAATAGTTACAGAGGAGTGGATGTCTTTCTTGTGCTGAGGACCCCAGAGCTGGGTGCAGTGCTCCAGGTGGTGGGGTGCCACAAGATCAGAGTACGGGGTGAGAAACATTTCCCTTGACCTGACCTCTTTTGATGCGGCCCAGGATGAGGCTGGCTTTCTGGGATGTGCATTCCCTGTTTGCTTATGACCAACTTATCATCCACAAGAACCTCCAAGTCCTATTTTGCAGTGCAGCTCTCAATCCTTATAGTGGGAGGGACTCCATTCTTCCCACATCCACCCAGAAAATCAGGAACTTGTGAGAAGTGGGAAGCCTGTGTATATGTATCTATATGTGTTTAATTTTTTGTATCTGCAAAATGTTGTCAGCAGGACCAGGACAGTGATTGTCCCCCTGTAGTCACCAATGGTGAGGCCACACTGCAAATCCTGTGTTCAGTTTTGGGCCCCTCACTACAACAATGACACCGAGGGGCTGGAGCGTGTCCAGAGAAGGGCAATGGACCTGGGGAAGGGTCTGGAGCACAAGTCTGATGAGGAGTGGCTGGGAAGGTGTGGGTGTTTAGCCTGGAGAAAAAGAGGCTCAGGAGGGACCTTAACACTCTCTGCAACTGTCTGAAAGGAGAATGTAGTGAGGTGGGCGTTGGTCTCTTTGCCAAATAATAACTGATAGGATAAGAGGAAACAACCTCAAGTTGTGCCAGGAGAGATTTAGATTAGACATTAGGAAAAATTTTGTCACTGAAAGGGCTGTCAAGCACTGGAACAGTCTGCCTGGGAAGTAGTTGACTCACTGTCCCTGGAGGTATTTCGAAGTCATGTATATATGGCACTTTGGGACATAGTTTAGTGGTAGACTTGGCAGTGCTGAATTGGATGGTTGGACTCACTGATCTTAAAGATCCTTTCCAACCTGAATGGTTCGATGTTCTATGATAGAGCTTCTTATGGCTTCTGTCATTGCTGTCTTGTCTCTTTATGAAGTAGCCACTGGACTTTTCCATTTTCCCCATTCCTGAGTTAATGAGATGATTTTGGTATTCTGCTCTTATTTCTTCTAATTATGTTTCAGCAAATGACTCACTTAAAAGAGGATGTCTCAGAGTAGTCGTCTTTTTCGAAAGAGTACTCACTCGATTAAAAAAATAATTGATTGCTTGTGGCTTAAATGATCTGTGTGCCAAGCCTTAAATGTGACATTGGCTGGAGTACTATCTATTAGGCTGATAGCTTCTTGGCCAAATAATATTTGGCTGGTGCCAATCATTTAATATATTCATTAATTATGTTATGTAAAAAGTGAATATGTGAAGGGCTGCAGGCCTATCCCAGAAACGAAGAGAATAAATCATGCCACATGTGTATTCTGAAAATAATTGGCAACTGCTGAAATATTTCCATTCATAATATTGAAGGCAGGGATACACTGGGGTGGTTTCCTTAGGAGGGATGAGTAAATGAAATATCACTCCATAGCTGAGTGGTCAAAGTGAAATGGACAAGCAGCAGAAAGGTCTGCTGCATGGAGAGGTCTTCTTTGGGATGTTCATGTACCTGGGCTTCAAACTTATTTTTCTTATACGGCTGTACAAACATATCTTAGGCTTTTATCCAATAACAACCTCCTCAGGACACAGCTGAGGGATGGTGACTTTTTACAAAGCATTCTGGCTGGAGAACAGATCGGGAAATTTAATTTAATTTTTAGGGTTGTGTTCTTTGTTGTTACAAGCTTCATTTGGGATCTTGGACAAGCCCCTCATGTTGCCTCTCCATGGAGAAGAAGGGCTTAAGGATAGAATTTTACTGTGGGGGAATCTTCTGTGGGACTGTGCCTTTATGGAAGTATGTGTGTGCTCTCCAGCATCAGAGTACACACTGCCAAGTGGAAAATAACTCAAGTATTTTGCAGAGAAGGGCCATAGAACTCTAATTATTAACACAGGGATGTGAAACGTGATCTGACACTACAGCTTAGCTGATTGACATCTCTTTTTCTTCATTATCAGTGTGTCATCTCAAATGTCTATTTGATAGTGAAAATCTTGTGTATCAGTGACATATACCACATTTCTTTCTTTGATACAATGATAAAAAAAGAATTGCTCATTGTCTCCAGAATACTCTAGGAAATCTGATGATTATTGTCTACTGAATCTTTTTTTTTTTTGTTATCTCACAATTATATTAAAATATAGGAATTACCTCCTAAAAGCTTATTTGTTCTTCCTTGATGTTTTCTTCCTCTAGAAATATCGCTATCAAGATGAAGATGCTCCACATGACCATACCTTGCCTCGTTTAACCCACGAAGTGAGAGGCCCAGAGCTTGTTCATGTGTCAGAGAAGAACTTGTCTCAAATAGAGAATGTCCATGGATACGTCTTACAGTCGCACATTTCTCCTTTGAAGGTAGGATCCATACAGCTCATGGCTTTAGTCAAATACGAGAAAACGCGTCCCATGAAATACCTGGGAAACTTATTTTGTTGTACAAACAGACAAGCTGCTTTCTGAAATCTATCATTGCAGATTGATTTTCCTGTGATGGGTTTTTAAAGCTTACTTTACTGGAACAGGTGATAGTTTAGTTGACAGAGCTTTGTATAGAGATGTGAGCTTTCTGCTTTGAGTGAGGCTTTTGCTTGAGTAAAAATAATTCCTGGCAAATGAGCCCGTTTTTCTGTACACTGTGAAAGGAATAATGTAGGTTCTCGGCCTCAATATCGCGGTGATTTTGAAATGGCAGACTTCCCTTCCTGATGATCCTTGTTCAGAAATTGATAAAAAAATACTGTAAATGTAACTAGTTTTTTAATCTCTCAGAAAGCTGTATCAAATTCACAAGTTATCTGAAAAGGGAGCTCATTTGCCTCTATTCATATCCTTGCTGCTCAAGCACTTGCAGTTTTCTGTGGGTTTTGATGCAATTCAGAGTGCTGTAGAGATATCTTTCTGTTAACTAAGGCAACTATTTATAAAACATAGAAGCTTTAGCTGTATGTGGGTCTGGTGTCCTCTGATATATCTTGTTGGGCCAAAATGTTTCTCTTCCTGGTGAACCTGTATAATAACCAAAAAAGAATCCATTCCTGTAAATTTACATTTGTCCTTTAATAAGAATGCAGAAGTTAGAAAATATTCCTAGAGCTTCTCTAGGAGAATAGATGCAGTGATTAGCATGATGGGTTTTCTATTTTAGATTCTACTAGGCCTGGGAAGGAGGGAAGAAAAGAATAATATTCTTTACTAGAGGCAGTGATGTTCTAGTAATAGTTTTATTCCAGCAATTATCTAAGCAGCAAACAAGGCAGATGGACTTTGCTCCCTGTGGTGCTCAAAGCCTGTGAAATGGGCACTGCTTGCCTAGCAGAGTGTTTACAGTGTGGCTACAAGTGAAAGGAAGTGATTATAAAAGATTTTTGTGCCTATAGCTGCTGTTCATTGAGCCTTTGTGGAATAGCCACATGAATGAATCTTTGTTCTTTGCTGTTTTTGGTCCTGTGTTTAGTTTGTATGATGTTGGTCTTTTGAGGTTTTAGCATTTTTCTGGGTTACTTACCTAACTTTTACTGCAGAAGCCAACAGTACAAAGCAGTAATAGATCATCTTGTGCTGAGACTACCTCCATGAAGCCTCTGTCTAGCATCAGGGAACAATCACAGACCAAGCAATTTCTGGCCTGGGAAGGAAACATCCCCATTCCTCTAAAACTCTTTGAGTATTGTGATTACATTTGGAGACTTTCAACTAAGGCTACATAATCCTGAGCGTGTAAGGCTACATAAGCAGAAGGTGTAGCAATGATGTCAAAAAGCTTGTTTGTGAAGTGAAGGGTATCCCCAGACATGCACAATTGCCTTGAAAAACTCCCAGTCTTATTTGCTCTTGTAACAGGACAAACTTGTCTGCTGCTATTTTCTGAATTGATGGTAGGACAGGAGCTTTATAGCATAGTATTTCCTCTTGGAAATCAGTGTCTCTTGCAAGTTCTCCCTTTTGCATGAGGATTTTTGTCTCTTTCCCTTCTTTCCTTCCGATTCACAGTTCTTATATCTTCCACTTAATAGTCTCATGCCTGACATTTAATCTAAATTTAGCTGTTTGTCTCTTCAAATGGCTTTGAAGTTCCTGCTTCTTTTCCCCTGCTATGTCCCATCTTTTAACCTTCAGTAGAGAATAAGCTCAGGAAGCCGGAGGAATTCTTCTTCTAGAGCTCATGGCATTGTGTTGCCCTTCCTATCTGAAATACCTGCTTTGGATTCACTTTTATTGTTGGCAATTCACTGAAATCCCTGTTCAGAAGTTTTTGGTCACAGTGATTTCCATATAGTTGAGAAATACCATTGTGAACACTCCAAAATCTAGTCAGAATTGGTTATTGTCTTGAATTACAGACTTTCTAACAAATAGCCTGATATCATTAAGTTTTCTGCCATCTCCTCAGCAGTATTGTGTGAACATGGCTGCACTGAATAATAGCAAAAGCTGCCTCTTAACTCATAGCATGCCTTCCTAGAAATGTAAAATAATGGATTCTTAAAGATTAACTGGAAAATGCCTGCAATTTAAATATTTCATTGACTCCTGTGAGAGGTGGAACTGCTGGAATCCTGCTCTGAGGAGAAATAACAAATACTGTGGTCCAAATACTGTCAGGTGATTTCTAAAGAGTGAGAAGACACTGGCAACTGCAGCAGGATAATGCTGTCAGGAAACTGCACCAAGGGCTTTTGACTAATTCTGCCTCACTTTTCTGGTTGCAGGTCAGAGCATTTGGTGCAAAAGGAAAATATGTGTACATGAAGGTCATGAGTCTGCTTGTAGCAGGTGCTGAGGAATGCATTTGGTGCAGCTTCTGGTGCTGGGAATGTGACTGGTAGAGTCTGTGAATGGTCAGACTGGGAAGTTTCCTTAGCACCAGGAATCACATCATGTCCTGTGTGCCATTAGGATTGTCCATCTGCCCACTCACCCAGGCCAACAAGCACGTTGGCTGCCTGCCTGGGTGGAGTTAAGTCACTGCCTGGCTGCATTTCACTGCCTGAATTTCTCTGTAGGGACTGCAACACCAGGCTGCACCTCTCCAGCAAGTTTTGAAGTAGTCTTTTGTGTTTAGTGGCTGCATGATGCCCTGATGACAGGATGATTACCCAATATTTGTTTTAAAATACTATCATAAAATGAAAGTTTGAGCATAAAAAATAATGCAGTTAAGATGCTTTGGAACCAAAATGTTTTCCCAAGACCAAGCCACATGTCCATCCTAATCACATCACTTTTCCTAAGTGACTTGACTTTGGCAGAATAAAAGAGTTGCTTATTTCCATATATTTTTGTTCATTTGGAAAGAAATCTGCAAAGATGATGCAGTTATAAAAGTTCCCTTTGGGCTGGCTGATTCTAGCCCTCACAACTGACCAGTGCTCACAGCCACCTGTGGAAGCCATAGGTGTTACACCTTGTCTGTGCATGTAGACTGCTTGCTGCCATCACCCTGCTCCCCAGCTCTCAGTGAACATCTCAGTTTGCATCCATAATCCACCTTGTCAGTTTGAGCACAGACTTGCATGATTACAGAGGAAGGTTGTGTGGATGGTTGAAGTTCAAGCAGAGAAATCATAGGCCTGTCTATTCCCCTGTGTGTATCTCCAGGTAAAACATTCTAGAGATTCTTGAAGCATTTTCTGACACTTAGAGTGGAAGCATTTAGACCATATTTTTATTAACACCTATTATTCAAAATGCTTGATATGGCCCATGTTTGCATAGAACAGATACATCTTAAATTTTGAAGTAGACACATTTTTAAAGAATTTGACAGTAATTTCATATATCAGATTATGTGGTTTGATGTAGTCCAGAAACACCCTAGTGGATCTCATTGTTATTAGATTATTAGATTGGATATTAGGAATAAATTCTTTACTGTGAGGATGGTGAGGCACTGTCACAGGGTGCCCAGAGAAGCTGTGGATGCCCCATCCCTGGAAATGTTCAAGGCCAAGGCTGGATGGGGTGTTGAGCAACTTGGTCTAGTGGGAGTTGTCCCTGAACATGGCAGAAGGCTGGAACTAGATGACCTTTAAGATGATCCCTTCCAACCCAATCATTCTAAGATTCTTTGATGACATGATTCTATGATTATTGATTACCTCAGGAGGCTGTATTGGAAACCAAAACATAAAACTAATTTTCTTCAACACCCTTGCGCTTGTTTCATGTGCTGAATAATAAGAAATGTGGTCCTCATATATTCTGGAAATATTTTTGAGGTACACAAATACTGATTATGATAAATATTGTCTAGATATGTGAATAGTTTTTCTGAAATTGAAGGTAGGCATGTTTTTCTTATCTTCCAGTACATAAAATCTAGTATGCACTAGCCAGATTACTTCTTTTCAGAAGATAATAATAAGCAAGAGCAGTTTTGCTGCAAAGCAGACCTTTTTTTATTTTCCCTGTCTTTTTCACTTCTTCACCTTATTGTATTTTGCATTAACTTTGCTTTTCTACTTTACATTTCATGTGCAGTCAACTTAGTTCTGAAAAATGCTTAATTTTAGAAAGATTCAAACTTCTGATAAAGGTTGATCTGCTTATTAGTGTGCAAAAGATAAAATTTTCAACAGTTTAAGCAACTTTGAATGTCAAACACTGAAGCTGTAAAGGAAGATTTCAGTTACGTGGATGTATTAACATTTGGGAAAATGCTAGCATTGAAGAAGTTTTTTTAGAGTTGCCATATTAAGATAATAAATGTTCTTTTCAACTTATGGAGGTGATGGGATTGCTTTTTAATAATCTCTTGAAGAAAAAAAGTCTGTAGTGTAATGGAAAGAGAATTTAAAATAATTTTCTTGCACTTCCCCTCGTTTGACACGAGATGGTGCAGTAAGCTCAGAATTCCTTGGCCTGCATCTGTAAAGCTTCATGGTGTACTATTGAGAGTTTTCTTAGATGGTTTAAAAAGTACTAATCAGCAAAAAGTGCCTTGTGAATCCCTGGTGTTTTGGGAAATCTGAATTCAACACAACTGTACCTGAAAGTCAGAGGCACAAGTTCTGACTCTAAATTAAATATGTACCTCTTCCCCTCCCTCCCAGGAATAGAGCTAAGCAGTGTTCATTAAATGAATAACTCTGGCTCCTAAATGAACCTTACTAGTATTTTTGTGATGTTAGATTTATTTTTGTTTTTCAGTATAGTCCACTTTGTTAAGATAAGTTGAAAAGTAAAAATCCTTGTAAGGATCTTTCATTTCCTTGGTTGTCCAAACATTTTAAATGTCAGGCTATTCCAGCTATCTCCATTTCCTAATTTAATGCCAGGTTGAACTGTAAGCATCAGTGGAAATTGAGCAAAAACAAGGAACCAGGTGAATAACTATACTAAGCTAAGTTACTTCC